ATAATACAAGGAACTCCTGGATATCTGGATATATTTCACCCACTCAGAGTCCTGTAAGAATAATAGAATAATACAAAGAACTCCTAGATATCTGATATATATCACCCACCCAGAGTCCCCAAATATTAACATTTACCATATTTGTTTCTTTGCTTTATTCTCTCTTATACATATATTTTTTATTCTGAATTGTTTAAGAGTAAATGGCAGACATGATGCTTCTTTGCCCCTAAATATTTCAACCTGTGTTTCCTAAAGACAAAGATTTCTCTCACATATCAATTATCTTTCACAGTACCATTATCAAAATCAGAACATTAGCACTGATACAATATTATTATTTAAACTATAGACCTTATTCAGATCTCGCCAGTTATCCTAACAATGTCCTTTATAACAAAAAGAAATCCAATATCATGCAGTGTATTCAGTTCTCATGTCTCCTTAGTCTCCTTTATCTTGAATAGTTCCTCTGCTTTTTTTGTTTGTTTCATGACACTGATATTTTTAAGAGTGTAGGCCAGTTATTTCATGGAATGCCCCTCAGTTTGGGTTTGTCTGATGTTTTCTCATGATTAGATTCAGGTTATGTACTTTTAGCAGAAATACCAAAAAGTTCTTCTCAGTGCAGTTGGTCCCATTATTAGCAATGTTAATTTTTTTAGTTATAACTACAAAGTTATAATTTTATTCTTTGTAATGAATAACCTGTTGTTAGATAACTGAGAATATGTAAATTTCCTATTACTCCTCAAATTTTCACCCACTATTTTTATCATCCAATGATGATTCTTGCCTGAATGAATTATTATAGTAATTACCAAATAGTAATCACTAATTCCATTATTCTTCCTACATTTATTAGTTGGTGAAATACTTTAACAAAGTTTTTTCCTTTCCCCATTTATATGCTATTGTTGTTTTATAAATCATATCATCATAGACTCATAGATTACTTTATTCAATAGTTTGTCATTCACTCTGATGTTTTTTTTTTTAATTTTACTTTGATCCTTAAATTATCCTAGATTTGACAGTGACAGTTCTTTCAAGCTAGCTCACAGGTCCTTTTAACATGGGCCATCATTCTTTGAGCATTTCCTAACTTTTGAGCACAAAAAGCTTATCAAGGTACATATTGTACTTTTCCTGCCCCAGCCCTGGGATCACCCACTTCTCCAATAAGCCTTGGTTCCTTTTAGTATAGAACAGTTTTAGGAAACAAGAGCTGGGCACTAGGGTGGAAGCTTGTTGCTACTGAGATGACAATGTTTCCAGGTCCTCTCAGCAGAAACAGCTGGAAAATAGATACAGCTACTCCTCACTTACTATCTCGTTATCCAACATTTCTCATTTATGACAACAGTTTAAAAAAATCTACTATACGATTATTTTTGTGCATTACCAATGTACTTCTGGCAGTAATGAACGCTGAGGTATGAGGTGAGAGTAATGCTGGCTGTGATGGTTAAGGTTATGTGTTAACTTGGCAGAGCCATGATTCTCAGTTGTTTGGCAGTTTTGTAATGATGTAACTTGGCAGTTATGTAATAATACAGTCATCCTCTATTTTGTGATCTGATATGGTCATCCTCCATTTTCACATAACACTAATTTTCATATAACAACCTGGTCTTTGGAACCTAACCATGTCGATAAGTGAGGAGCGGATGTATATATATGCTGTTGTTGTTCTCGTTGTTAGATGCCATCAAGTTGGCTCTGACTGATAGTAACCTTATGTATAACTGAAGAAAATGCTGCCTGGTCCTTTTCCATCTTCATGATCTTTGGTATGTTTAAGTCCATTGTTTTGGCTATTGTGCCAATCCATCTCATTGAGGGTTTCCCTTCTTTTCATTGGTCCTCTATTTTACCAAAGAGGATATCCTTTCTAGCCATTGGTCTTTCCTGATAACATGTCCAAAGTAAGCAAGCCAAAGTCTCGCCATCCTCACTTCTAAGTAACATTCTGGTTGTATTTCTTCTAAGACTGATTTGTTTGTTCTTCTGGCAGTTCACAGTATATTCAATATTCTTTGCCAGCACCACAGTTCAAATGCATCAATTCTTCCATCTTCTTTTTTCATTATCCAACATTTGCATGCATATGAGGCAGTTGAAATGACTGTGGCTTGGGTCTGACACACCCTAGTCATCAAAGTGATTTATCTTTGCTTTTTAAAACTTTAAAGAGGTTTTTTCACAGCAGATGTGCCCAATGCAATACGTCTTTTGGTTTCTTGACTGCTGCTTCCATGGACACTGACTGATGATCCAAGTAGAATGAAATTGTTGACAACTTTAATTTCTTCTCCGTTTATCATGATGTTGTTTATTGGTCCGGTTGTGAGGGTTTTCATTTTTTTCATGTCTTAGTCATCTAGTGCTGCTGTAACAGGAATATTACAAGTGGATGGCTTTAACAAAGAGAAATTTATTCTCTCACAGTCTACCAGGCTACAAATCCAAATTCAAGGTGTCAGCTCCAGGAGAAGGCTTTCTCTATCTGTCAACTCTCGGGGAAGGTCCCTGTCATCAATCTTCCCCGTGTCTAGGAGCTTCTCTGTGCAGGAACCCCAGCCAAAATCCCGGGGCTGCTTTCTTGGTGGTATGAGGTCCCCTGTCTCTCTGCTTGCATCTCTCTTTTATATCTCAAAAGAGACTGGCTCAAGATACAATCCAATCATGTAATTAAGTCTGGCCTCATTAACATAACTGCCACTAATCCCATCTCATCAACATCATAGAGACAGGATTTACAACACATAGGAAAACCACATCAGATGACAAAATGGTAGACAATCACACAATACTGGGAATCATGGCCTACCCAAGTTGACAGACATTTTGGGGGAACACAATTCAATCTATGACACTTCACATGTAGGTGAAATCCATATTGAAGGCTGTAGTCTTTGACCTTCATCAGTTAAGTGCTTCAAGCCATCTTCATTTTCAGCAATCAAGGTTGTGTCATCTGCATATTGCAGGTTGTTAGTGAGTCTTCCTCCAATTCTGATGCTTTATGCTTCTTCATATAGTCTGGCTTCTCAGATTATTTGTTCAGCATACAGATTAAATAATCCTTCCACACAGCTTTGCCAATTTTGAACCATGTGTATGTTCCACATGAGCACAAGTAAGTGTGATAAAATTCCCATTCTTGGTAATGTTATCCATAAATTGTTATGATCCACACAGTTGAATGTCTTAGTAGAGTTGATAAAATCAGGTAAACATCTTTCTGGTATTCTCTACTTTTGGCTAAGATCGATCTGACATCAGCAATGATATTCCTTGTTCCACGTCCTCTTCTGAATCCAGCTTGAACTTCTGGCAGTTCCCTGTCGATGTACAGCTTCAGTCATTTTTGAATTATGTTCAGCAGAATTTTGCAAGCATGTGTTATTAATGATATTGCTCAATAATTTCCACGTTCAACATGATAGCCTTTCTTTGGAATGGGCACAATGATGGATCTCTTCCAGTCAGTTGGCCAGGTAGCCGTCTTCCAAATTTCTTGACATAGATGAGTAGCGGAAAGTAGCTAAAGCAAACAGCAGAAATGATGAAGTAAAAGAGCTGAAAAGAAGACTTCAAATGGCAGCTCAAGAAGACAAGGCAAAGTACTATGATGAAAAATGAAAAGACCTGGAGTTAGAAAACCAAAAGGGAAGAACACAACGCCATTTCTCAAGTTGAACGAACTAAGAGAAAACTGAAGCCACAAATTGCAATACTGAAGGATTCTATTGGTAAAAAATTGAATGATGCAGGAAACATCAAAATAAAATGAAAAATATACGGTGACTGTACCAAAAAGAACTAGACAACATTCAATCATTTCAGGAAATAACATACGATGAGGAACCACTGGTACTGAAGGAAGAAACTCAAGCTGCACTGAAGGCAGTGGTAAAAAACAAAGCTCTAGGAATTGAAGAAATATCAATTGAGATACATGTATACACGTGTATATATACACATACACACACTCACATATATGGATACATATACATGGATTTTCCTCACTCTTTTTTACAGCTGCATAGTATTCTATTGTGTGGTTTCACCATAGTTTATTCAGTTGCTATTTGATGAATTGGTATTTAGGTTATTTTCAATATTTTTCTATTACAAACAATACTGCAATGAATAACTTTATGTGTATATATTTTCACATCATGAGGGTAGGTGTGTATCTTCAGGGTAGATTCCTGGAAGTGGAATTGCTGAGTTAACAAGTAAATACATATGTAGTTTTGCTAGTTATTGCCAAATTCCTCTCCATAAGGATTGAACCAATTTGCATTCTAACAATGTATGAGAGTGTCTGTTTCCTCACAGCCTCGCCAACAGAATATGTTACACTTTTTAATTTTTACCAATCTTATAGTGAAAGATGGCATTTCAGGGTAGTTTTAGTTGTAATTTATTTTATCATGAGTGAAGCTGAACATATTTTCAAATATTTAGAGGTCATTTTTATATCTTTCTTGTGAGATTTCTGTTTGTGTCTTTTGCCTTTTTTTTAAAAAAAAAGGACATTTTAGTGGAGTCTTCTGTCTCTAAAATAAAATTTAAGCATGTATTTTGTTGGACACATTCCAAATGCCAAGCACAGTTTGAGGTGCTGAGGATAAAAAAATGAACAAAATCACTTGCAAAGTGTTTACTCAGCATAAATGTATTTGAAATTCAAAATACAAACAAGATTTTAATCCCTAGCTGATTATTCTGCAAGTTTGGAACAATTTCCAAAAACTTCAAAATCCTATAGATTAATTCACACTTACTCAAACATATTTTAAGTAAACATTCACTTGTAACTTTGTCTAGAAAAGCCAAAAGGGTGACGCCAAGGAACTAAACAATCGTTTTGGGCAACAGCATATTGGAGGGCTAGGCCAAAACAGGACAGAAAATTTTCAAAAAGGCATACAAATGTTGTTTGTAGACAGTAACATAACTTTTTAATTTTTTATTTTCTCATACAGTTATACATCTTCAGAATGATCCATGTAGCAGACAGCTCTGGACAGACCAATGTTTTCTCTCAATGTGTAACACACTGCAGTTTTCCACAATGGTGGCATCAAGCCTTGTATAACCTTTTCACCTTCAGCTGCCTCTTCATCATCCCTCTTCTCATCATGTTGATCTGCAATGCAAAAATCATCTTCACCCTGACACGAGTACTTCATCAGGATCCCCACAGTATGTATTCATTAGATTTAGTCTTAATTTTGGGTAACCAGTTTTGAAACAGTAATGCTCAAAGCTGAGTGGCACTTACTACATACTAGGTACTGTTCTAATCAATTCACATACATTAACTCATTTAATATTCACAACTGCCCCATGTGGTATGTACTTTTATTATCTGAAATTTATAGATGAGGAAATTTAATATCTCCTACTGTTCTAAATTTACACCATGGAATTAAAGATGAAAGGACAATCACACCATTTACTCAGGATAAGCATCAGCAAACTGTTCCTGCTGGGTCATAACAAAACCAAAAACCAGTTGATGTTGAGTCAGTTCCAACTCATGGTAACCCCATGTGTGTCAGAGTAAAACTGTGCTCCATAGGGTTTTCAATAGCTGACTTTTCAGAAGCAGACTGCAAGGCCTTTCTCCCATGACACCACTGGGTGGACTAGAAACTCCAACCTTTCAGTGCATTAACCATTTGCACCACTCACACTATTATTAAGCACCTGATTTCTAGAATATAACAAAGCACAACCTACTAAATGCTAGCCAGTAGACTTGTTAAAATTAAGCTGTTCTGCTGAACAGTCAAATTTCCTATATCTTCACAACATGAACTATGCACATTTCTTTGTGTATGTGTGTGAACTGGGTATATGAAATATTGCTGAATGTGTAACTATTTCATCCAAAACTTCACAGATGTAGTTGTGCCTCTTTTGTTTCAGTAATTAGGTGCATTTCCAAAAACTAAAATTTATAACTTTACAAAGGAAGCATGGCTATATGGGTGTGACTTCCAAAAGACAATAGAATAGTGCATAAATTATACGTGTTACAACTTAACAAGGAAAACATCTTAATTACTATAGCGTGCTCACTCAGCACGTTTCCAAAGGAGATAATTATGATGATGCTCTGTAATAGGTACTTGGGCAGTTTTCACCCTGCCAGCACAAAATGTTATTTGATACTCCCAATAAAGTATACTGCAAAAAATAATTTGCCTTCAAAATCTTACCCTCAAGAGATTCAGTTCTATCCAGGCTATCTAAGAAGGTGATAGGGAGAGTAAGAAGATGAATACCAAATAAAGGTTTAAAAATGTGAGCAGTGCAGAAGCATAAAAAGAAAAAAAGCAGAGGCAGAGAGCAGTAGTTAAATACTACTAAATCTATTCATTCAATCTTTTATCTGTCTAACTAACACACACTGACCACTCATTGCTGGAAACAGTGCTAGGTAGGGATACCATGGTGAATAAAACAAGCCTAGTAACTATTCTGCTCTTACCGAGTTTATGGTTCAGCAGAAATACAGTCAGTAAACAACAACCAGATGCCATTAAGTCAGTTTCAACTCATGGTGACCCATGTGTTGCAGAGTAGAACTGTGCTCCATAGGGTTTTCGAGGCTGTGACTTTCAGAAGCAGATTGCCAGTCTTTCTTCCAAGGCACTTCTGGGTAGGTTTGAACCACCATCCTTTCAGTTAGTAGTTGAGTGCTCAACCGTTTGTGCCACCCAGGGACTCCCAGGCAGTAAACAGTAAACCGATAATCAAGTGTGATGATATTTCAAAAGAGGACGAGAAACACAATTTGTTATAGAAGTCTCTATATTTTTCTTCAGATTTATCTACTCTGCTCAATAAGCCAAGATGCTTTTTAAATGTACCTACTCCTATTGATTATTTACTACTTCAAGGTTACTTAGGTTCACAGATACTGAGAAATAAATGAAATTATGGGTGAAAAGAGCAAGTCCATAGCAAGGCACTCAGTAAATGCTAATTAAGTTTGTCTGATCAAAAATCTATAACCAGTCTGTGTTCAATAAATTACCTATTTCAGTGTTTCCAGTCAAAAATTAATTTTATAATTAAAACATCATTCATGTAAATATTTTCCTTCATATTTCCACTCTTTGGTGATCAGTGAATAAGTAGTTGCAACATGACAGTTTCTTAATAGCATTATCTGTTTCCCTCAAAAAAACAATATATGAAGAGTATTTTTTATTTTAAAGTAGCAGTTCTAGATTATGAAATACAAGAACAGATTTTCAGCACTTCAAAACTGCAGCATTTTATCTCTAAGAACTAAGTCTTAAACTTCATATAGGCAGACTGACTGTTAAAGTCAGCAATTCCATTCAAGTCTAATGAATTTCTTCAAAAGAGCAGTGACCTACGAACTTTTAAGGGATATACTGGTGTGAAAAGTGAAATAATTTTGGACATAAAAGAAAGAAGCACACAGTTGAGTTAGATAATTTTGGGCAATCGACTTTCATCTATGCACGATCCTTATTATACTTAGTGGCAGATATATAGTAAACACAATTCTTTGTAAACTCAGAATTCAACTCAGCTCAAACTTACTCTACTCTCTTAAACTTATATTTTAAGAGTTTGAGTACCCCTATATTTCAAAAGATGGTTGTTCAAACCCACCAGCTACTCTGAGGGAGGAGGGTGTGGCAGTCTGTTTCCATAAGGATTTACAGCCTCAGAAACCCCATAGGGCAGTTGTACTCTGTCCCTACAGAGTCACTATGATTCTAAATTGACACGACAGCAACCAGTCTGGTTTGGTATATTTCAAACCCAGATTAGTTTACTGGAAACTTTTAAGAGCAATATCATCTTTAATGGAGCCCTAGTGACACAATGGTTAAAGAGCTAGGCTGCTAACCAAAAAGTCAGCAGTTCAAAACCACCAGCCACTGCTTGGAATCCTTACGGGGCAGTTCTACTTTGTCCTGTAGGGTTGCTATGAGTTGGAATTGACTCGACGGTAACGGGTTTGGTTTGTGGGGTTTTATTATCTTTGATATTTTCTATTCATTATATGACATAGTGGAAAATTTGGAATAAAAACATGCATTTTGAACAAATTATCACTATTAAAAATATTTTGTAAATTTGTTTCCATTATATTCATCAGGTTGAACTAGTGACTGTCTTCCATTTTATCTATTTGGTTTCGTGAGAAAACTGGTCATTCAAAACCTACTGTTTTATCTATCTAATAGAACTGCAACTCAATCAATCCAAGAACAATATACCAAGAGCACGGCTGAAGACCCTAAAGATGACAGTTGCATTTGCCACTTCATTTACTGTCTGCTGGACTCCCTACTACGTCTTAGGAATTTGGTATTGGTTTGATCCTGAAATGTTAAACAAGGTGTCTGACCCAGTGAATCACCTCTTCTTTCTCTTTGCTTTTTTAAATCCATGCTTTGATCCACTTATATATGGATATTTTTCTCTGTAATTGATAGACTTCATAGGAAATTATGTAAGGAAAGAGCAGGGTAATGAACTTCCCCAACTTGGAATGACTTAACTTAAAAGATGCAGCACGTTTACATGCAAACAAAGCAGGATTTAAGGCTAATTTATCATACTTATTTTTTTAGAAACCACATTGTCATAGCCTCAATTATAAGGAAAAACAAAACCTTCAGAAAAAATACTGAAATATTTCTTTTTAATCAAAAAACTTCTGAATTAATCTCTGCTCCTTCACAACTCCTAAGCACATTACTTAGGTTTTTCATCACTTTCTCTTTGTATAATGATATTTAAATATTTAACATAGCCATGGTCTAAGGTGAAGAGATACCAAAAACGTACTGCTGAGAACCTACCCTCAGCATGGCTTGGAAGCAATTACAATTTTATGTTATAACAATACATAGAACACAAAGACAGTGCTTCGCTTACCCACAAAATCAATTTTCCTTCTTATCGTTACAAAAAAAAAATAGATGCAATGAATTTAATTTATTCTATGTCTTCAAATGCATTCTGAGGTTTGGGGTACTCTGCAACTAATCCTATCAACCACTTCACCAATCTGACAAGACTTTTGAGTAGTTCTTCTTCATTCCATTCTTTATACCGCACAGGTTATGAAGTGTCTCCATATAAGGGGGGTTTTAAAGGGATTAGGATTTGGAGAAGGGTTCAGAACATTCCTTTAGCTGTACAGTCTATGAAGTTTGTGGTAATTAACTGTGAAAATAATAAGAGTACTCTTAAATGCAATCAAGAAAAGACCTATACTGATTATGCTTCATGCATAATATACCCTTTGTTTGCAAAATATGGAAGATTTTTCTATCTCCTGATTTTACTAAACTCATAATTCATCAGTTAGAAATCAAAGAGTTATGCACAAGCAAAAAAGATATTTGACACACAAAAAGGTGCTCTGGAGGAAAAAAACTGCACAGTTCCAATCTATATAGGTCAAAGAAGGAAAAAATAAAAGAAAAACTCCGTAAATTTGAAACTAGTACCTGCTTGTATTCACATTAAGTGGTATGCTTTTAAAAATATGTCTGCAAAACAATACCTCTTTTATCTAAGGACTGTTTCTGCCCATTCCATGAAAAAGGGGAGGGGATGGAAGTAATAGACTATAACAACCATTAAACGAGAAAAACATGAAAAAGGAGTTAAAAGAAATTCAACCACTGTTTTTTTTTAAAAAAAAAACGTAAAATATGACTATATTCATAGTAGATATGCAGTGCCACATAAAAGATGAAATATAATTTCCAAATATTCTAGGGCATGTGAATTGTGGAAAGTAAACTGCTAGCTACAGTAGTGGTAGGTCTTTCCTTTTTCTTATTTTTCTTCTCTTATACTTGTTCTTTTTCTTTCAGTTTCTTTAGTGTTATTATGTATTGTTTTTTCACATTCTGCATTATTTCCCAATTTTGTCTCCATTGGTCCTATGTCTGTCATCACTAAGCTCCTTCTTTCTACTATTTCATTCCTATCTTCTTTTTCACTAAACTCATACCTTCAATTAACCAATCCATGGCTCAACTCTACAGCTATACTGGGCAAGGCTCAAAATCTGTAGTATGCTAAAATGCTCGAAGTTAACTTTAAAGGCATTTATATTGACAACAAGATTTTATAATCCCATTAGATGACACAGTAATGTAGATAACAAAGTCATTCTTCTTCAAATTTCCTTATCATCTACTTATTCCTAAACTGATAATTCTCTCTTCTGGATTTAAAGGCAAAAATAACACATATACATAAGGAACAATTTAAGGGCTTTAGTACATATGTGTTTAATGAATGTATGTCTACTAGGTTCTTATATATCCAAGAAACTATTCTACTTGAGTATTCTCTCAAGTATTTTTCGATACATTAAATAAAGGGCTATTCAAAATCTTGATACAGAGGATCTTAATCTTTGCTCCATGCACAAAACTACATTTCAATGTAATTTGTTTTGTTTTAGTCCTATTTGTTGTATTATTTTATGCATTTAAAAACATTATCCTGAGAGAGTGTTTATAGGCTACACCACATTACCAAAGGCAATCTGGCACAAAAAAAGTTAGAAATTCCTAATTGGTTTTGTATATTTATATGGAACAATATTACAATAAAAATATATCAGAATGTATTCACTTGTTTATATGCATGCATATAAGAATGTTAATATTGAAACTGGATTGTTCTGATTTGCTTAATTACTCTTTTCAAACCCAGAAACTCTCTTATGGCTAAATGTGTAGTGAAAAAGTTCATACCAGTATACTGTATGAATACTACGGTCCATAAATTATAACGTAGATGTGGATTTAAACTAAAATTCATAGCTCAAAGGTAAATGTGACTTTTAAATTAAAGATACACCACTTAGCAGAAAGTATTTTATGTTTGATATTACAGGCATTCACTCTATTTCCAATCATAATAAAAGATGAGGATTCACAGGAAAAAGGAAGTATTCTGCAGAGTAAATCTAAGACAATGGATAATGAAGATTCTATTGTGGTTGTCACCTCCTTAGTCTATAAAACTGGTAAAAAAAAAAATAGTTTTCTTTAGCAATTCAATTTAGTATAGAAGTGACATTAACTAATGACAATGAACTGAACAAAGAATACACCAATTCAATTTCAGCCTAAGAAACAGATATTACAGTTAAAAAACACTCAAGGTGGGGGGTGGGGGGCGGGGAGTGGCACAAACAGTATCTTTCAGAAAGCATTAGTCAGTGTAAATGAGTTAGGAATTTCCTGAAAGTGATCTAGTCTCCAAACTTGCTTGGTAGTAACAAAGAGATAATATTTAATTAGGGCAGTTAAAATATTTTTAAAATATCATCTATTTAACTTTGGTCAAGTTTCAGTTGTTGAACCTATGCCTTGGGCTTGTCTAATTACTATAAATTGTGTCCATATGAAACTAAATAAAAGAATAAGGTTCAATTTAATCTTGCTTATCATTTTTATGGCTGTTAAGTAAAAAATCAAATTTAAAACAATTAGTCCAATTTTAAAAGTTACATATAACATACACAAATGCATTCACAGGAGTAACAGAATACATGCAAAAAAATGTAAATACAGTTATCTCTGAGTGATAAAATATTATTTTCTTCCTTGTGAATTCCAGTAATCCAAATTTCCAAAATAAACATACACTGCTTATGTAATGAGAAAAAAAAAGCACAATAAATGGTATATGTGTGTTTGCATGACTTATATTTTATGGATCACTGTTTATTAGAATGCTTTCTGCTGTAAGTAACAGAAATGTCAGATCTGAAGTGCTGTTTTTCATCTCATGTTACAGGAAGTCCAGATGTAGGCATGCAGAGCTGATTAATTCACAGCTTTGGATCAGCTTCTCTACTTCCATTACGCTTTCCTTTCATGACTAGAAGTTGGTTGTCTCATTCTAAACCTCAAAAGCAGAAAGAAAGGGTGGCTTCTCATTGTGCATCTCTCTTTCCCAGAGCCCTCAGCACTTCCTTAAATTGGCCAGAACTGTTTCACATGACCTCCTCTAAACCAATCACTAGCAGCAAAGAGGAATAGGATTACTCTGAAAACCTTAAGGATATGATTCATCTTGTGGAACAGGGCTCAATTTCTCGGAACACTTAGCTATCTGATAATTGAAAGAAAAAACAACAGTTGTAGGCTTTTTTTCCCTTTTTTGGGGAGAGATAAGGACTCTTTTAGGTCAGAAACCAAAAGTACTTGCCACAATCACCAATTAATTCCTCCAAATAAATGTGAGACTAAACACACCACAAGTTTAAACAGTACACAATTTAAAATACAAAGCACAAAAACTAAATACAGTTCTTTCAAAAAACTAAAAATCAAACCAGTTGTCATCAAGTATTATACCGCATGGGAATCCCATGTGTGTCAGAGGAGAACTGTGCTCCATAGGGTTTTCAATGGTTGGTGTTTTGGAAGCTGACTGCAAGTCCTTTCTTCTGAGGCACTTTTGGGAGGACCAGAGCCTCCAACTTTTCAGTTAGCCGTGGAGCATGTTAACCATTTGCACCACCCAGGGACTCCAAATACAGTTCTCAGAGCACAGTAATCGCTTACTAAATGTAACTACAAGGGGAAAGAACAAATTCTCATTGTTTTTTTTACAAACTAAATTCAAGCATTTCAAACTCTAGTGTTTGGAGTCTTCATCTGGTCTATAGAGGGTAGCTCCTGCCCAATTATTGACCTTCTTAAGAACCCTTGGTCTCTGGTTTTTGTTTCTCTGTTTTATAACTAATGCCACTGGGTAAGAAATTTCCACAGGTTTTTAAAATTCTGGGCATCACTTCAGATTCAGAGAACAATTGTCAAATAAATTAATAATTAAATAAATAGCAGCCTGAAGTAGATTTATTGTGAAGTTAATGCAGCTTAACTTCCGAGCACCTCACTTACTCAGCCCCCTCCGAAGGTCCTAGAAAAGATGTACTCATATGATCACATATTTTTGTAAAATTCAGAAAAATAAGATATTTTAATTGCAATTAGCTAAGAGTATCTTTTTCCACTCTGACTTTCCGTCTGTCATACTTCCGTGAGATGATGTGGTGTCGGAACAGCCATGGGCATCTTTGGCACCCCCAAAGGGAAGTTGAATTAGGGATATATTTAGATTTTAACTAGAGAGATATTGTGTAGTTCTTAGTCATTTTCACATATAGTTAAGTGATTGCTAGGCATGAGAGTAAGCTTCTATTCATGATACTAGATAAAAGAACTATTATCACTGTGCTGACTCACCTAGCATACTGACTGGAAAGTGTAGTACCACAGGTCAGGTTACTTTATGAATGTATCCAGACGTATGCAGCAGAACTATGTGGGTAACGGGAGGAAAACAAGGTGGAAAATGTACAGAAACTAGTCTATGGAAAATTATTCCAATCTTTAGATTATACACTCAAAGGATCCCCCACCCCACCCACCGCCAATAACTCAGGCCCTTATATAATCTCTTCTCCTTGATTTTGGGTGGAACCCATGATTTTCTTATAACCATGTTTACCTATGTCAAAGGCAATGGGACGTCACTCCTTTAATTAGATTACATTATAAGGTAAAGGTGATGGCATGTCATTCCCATGATTACATTATGTTATAGAGGATTCCATTTTAGCAGATTAGAGAAATTCTCCTGCCGCCCTTGAAGAAGCAAACAGTTTTGTTGTGAACTGCCTTAAGAGAGGGCTACATAGCAAGGAAAGAGCTCTGGTGGTGCAATGGTTAAGCACTCAGCCGCTAATCAAAAGGTCAGCAGTTCGAACCCACCAGCCACTCTGCAGGAGAGAAGACCTGGTGATCCGTTCCCATAAAGATTACAGCCTAGGAAACCCTATAGGATAGTTCTACTATGTCCTATAGGGTCGCTATGAGTCAGAGTCAAC